TAATAAAGGTTTGAATACACATTTTTTTTTCATCTAGAAGTATATCAAGTTGTAATTTTACTCCTCACTCCCCCGAGCCAAGGGCAGTAATGTTTATTATGAAACTCAAAACAATTGGACACAGAAATATTGAGGAAAGCAATTTAGAAGCCTCGCACTGGCATAACCCACACATAGTTAAACATCTAGCTCTCTTGGTATCACACAGTCTGCAATTGATGATAGTTTTGCTGAGAAACCGTGAGTCACGAAAGCTTTTAAAGATGAGTTCATCCCCATGGCTGTCCTCTAAGGCATGCATTAATGCTTGACTCAACATTTTTTGTTGCCCAAAAGGTTTAGAACCAAAGACTGAGCTCGTTAAAATGAAATAAAGGTTTGAAGTATCCATGTAATTTCTTTTTAGATGATCTGAAGTTCACCTAAAGGCAGAGAAGGTACAGTAACTCTGAGCATCTGAGGAAATCTAAGTAAATTCTCTCTGGTTTGGGGCAGATTTGATGGATTGGCTATAAAAAAGGGGCCTCTGTGAGAAGTGCAGTGTAAGAAATACATACATTTTCATTTTCTAAATTTGAGCATAACTTTAAAAATTTTGTTAAAATATGGCGACTTTTGCAAGAGATCTGCATGATCTCTGAGTTCCTTCAGATGCGTTTAAACAATTATGATTTGAAAGCAGACTACCACAATGAATAATTCATCAAGATGATGCAGTGCATCCACTTCATAGGACTTTTCACTCAAGACTAGAGCACCTCAGGCAGTCTTTCTGCGCCAATTAAAGGATTAGCCGCTACGAAGCCAAGCGTGAATAAGCGATAGAAGACATTAGTTATTGGTTTACTCAGCTGCTTCATTCTTAATAACAAAATGGACCTCCAGTGGCTCTTAGAGATAAAGTAGGCTCACACAGACCCAAAGTCTTTGAATGCAGATTAGAAAGAAAGGTTGGCTGTGAGTACTTTGATTTTTTTTTTTCTTGTACTCCCATCCTTTTCAGAACTGTCTACTATTAACTTGTTCCTCTTTGTATTCTGCTTTGGCATGATGTCTTTATATAACCAGTCTACATTCAAATAGAAGAAATAAATTAACAAATGTTTAATCTCCCCTTTTCATTGCTTCATATGCTACGTTGCTTTCATTGCTAATTGAGGATTTAATTTGGAAATTAGTTATTGTTAAAAAAAAAGATTTTTAGCTTTTGTCGCAGCTTTTATTTAAAGACAAGATATAATATCAAGTTAGTATTCGATTTCAGGTAAAGTTCTTTACTTCTTGAAATCTCTGTAAGAAAATTCTGCATTTGGCTGCAGGTTTCAAAGTAATCTGCATTCCTGCGGCTTCATCTGCACGGGACACCCCTAAGCAAAGGACAAATTGGACAGCTACGTCCAAGCCTGGCTTCATCTGGAGTAGGCCTAATGTTTATTCAACTATAGAAGATGTGATAGGACAGATAATACTGCCCATTATGCTGTGAGGTGTCCCAGTGTTTTCCTTGAAAAACAAAGTATTTTAATATACTTTGTTTTCATGTTTAAAACCAGGTTATGCCTTGTTTTTAAGTGCAATTGGGTTATTATTTGACAGAGAGAACCACATATTAAACACCAATGTTTGAAGTTTCTTCCTCTATTTCTGCCTATAATATTGAGTTCTTCTTTTTCTTGCACGGCAGTTTGAGTTATAAACTGTTCAAACATAATTTTGATTACTGCAGCATAGCATTAGTGAAAAGCTATATATAAAAAATATAATTTAATGAAAATAACAAGAAAGGAGACTGCAAAAAATACTTTTACATTAACATCATTTTAATTTTGAATCAATTATTATAAAGTCTTCACTCGACACCACCTGTGTGTGGTTAGTTTTCCTTCTCCGTTTTAGCTTCTCTGCAATGCTAATTGTTTTCTCACACTGCATAAAATAAAGAGTTTTGTCTTTAAGAACGTCAGGTGATCCACTGCCTGTTATTTATCCACATTTACATAATGATGACCAGGTTTTTCCCTAAATAAAAGCCTGCATTTAGGAGGAATACAGATAGACTCTATTTGCTCACTGCAACCCTCTCGGGAGCAAATCAGCCCCGGTGTTCGGTTTCAGAATTAGAGGTTCATGTAAACTGGGGTTTGCCAACCTTTAGCATCAGCAAATGGCTTTGTGCCTGATCCAAAGGAGAGGATTGGATGAGGGCCAACATTTGTTTTGCTGTGACAGAGAGCAAATCTATAGTATATCATGCAAAAAACTGTTGGCAATGATAAATGGATGACTGATGGCTTTT